ACCATGATCTATATAATGTATTGTGACACTCAAAAAAATTGTTTTTGATTTAGCATCCCATATGTCTAAAGTAAGTGCAATAGATATATTCCTAAAATTTTGAAATTCTTTTTTAAGTTGATTTTTTATTTTATCACAAAGGTTTTTTATGTCCTTTCTAGTTGTAGCTCTACTAAAAGGGTTAAATGCTGGACAAAAAACAATTTTAATCATTTGAACAAAATAAGGATTTTCAGATAAAGAAATAGGGGAGTCCTTAGCACATATGAATTTTGGTATTTCCTTTCATGCTATGAGTGCATTGTAATTTCATGTTGAGAGAGTTGATGATTGTGGATTAAAATTAAATTAAGTTTGAATTTTCCTACCTGGTGTAGTTGAACCTAAACTGGACTAGCGAGACTACTGCATTTGTTAGGGGTGCTTCTTCTCCAAGTGTTGCCGCATCGTCAAAGTCCTATTCTCAATGCCGATAACAGTTGAACAAAAATTACATTCCCCGCACATCTCTTCCCCCAACCCATTTAGCTTTAGCCGTTTTGATTTGGTGAAGAATTGACATACCCTAGACACGACCCTCTTTGATGGTCGGGCCATGGAGTCACAATTCGCTTGTGCTTGGTTGGACCCAATCCTGACCGTTTGTGGTTGTGGAATTGGAGTTGTTGCCTCTTGAAAAGGTAAAAATGGATCGAACCCTTCCATTTTTTCGGTAGATGGAATGTAAAACTCATTCGGGGATTATCCTCCGAATGCATAATTTCAAGAATCCATTATGAATTTATAATAAAATAATAAATAATTAAAATCAAAGAAATTGAATAATAATATGAATAATAGATGAAATTAAAAAATGAAAAAAAAATTGAATAATATAAACAATAATATGAATAAATATAAATTGAATTGAAGATAATTTGAGAATTGGAGTAGGGAGATTGAGAGAAGAGAATACATTGAGAGTTGAGTTGTGAAGAAAATGGAGGTTTAGGGGGGTTTTGATAGTTGACGTTTAGAAAGGGGGGGTGGGGTACGTGGGTTGTGTGGGGAGCTCACGTGACCATTGATTGAGTAGCCAACAGTCAGTTTACCGTTGGCTGCTCAATGCAATATTTTATTTTTTGTTTTTTGTAAAATATCATTTTAACCTCATATTTATTATAAATTTGCAAATTTTGGTAATTTGCCAAGGGCATTTTTGAAAAAAAATAAAGTTCTAGGCCCGAGCTTGGGGCTGGTCCTTGGCCCATGCCTTGGTTCGAGCCCTCCTCTACGGTTTGGGTCGGGTTTTAAATCCGGACCCCCTAGGACCAGTCCTCGTAAGTACTAGTCCTAAGCCCGAGTTTTTGAGTGGGCTTTTTGGGTCCGATCCCGAATGCCCACCTCTACATTCTATAGTTTTTGTTTATATGTTAGTTACAATTGGATATGTTTATGATACATGTATAGATATATAATATTTTGTTATTACTTGGTTATTTGTTGATTTGTAGCAGTGTCAATTTGACATTAATTAATATTTTTCACTTAGGTAAAAAGATGTTTCATATGAATTTTTTGACTTTGAGAATCAATACATTTGTTAATTTTCAATTAGGAACAAATTCTTGTTGTAATTCATCATAAAAGAAATGACGAAATATGTTATCCCAAAATCTTGATACAATCAGGGATGAAAATTTTCATCCCCAATTCACCACACAAAAAAGGACGAAAACATTTGTCCCCAATTAACGACCCAATCAAGGACGAAATTTTTCGTCCCTAATTGTGCTTTTTTTTTTTCAGACGAGAATAAAAAATTTTGTTGCAAAATAAAAAATCTTTAATTACGAAACCATATTTTGTCCCTAATGACGTGGCTTTGGGGACGATTTGGTATGTCGTCCCACATTACTTTTAGGATGAATTTTTCACTTTCTGCGATGAAAATTTTTGTCACCCTTTTTTGAAATTTCTTGTGGTGGATACACTTTCCGATTCAGCAGTGAACGAAAAGCAAACTCGTTCTATACTGTTAGGGCTTTTGAAGAGAAGTGGTCGATGAGTCTTTTGGTGGTGAAATGTTGGATTTTGGTGGTCGTGGTTGATCAAAATTTGACTTTGGAGGGTGGCTGCAAAACCCTAATCGATCGATTGTCGACGATTGACGGGAGTAAGGTTTAAGGGGTTTTGGTGAGTGATAATCGAGGAAGAGAATATTGGTGGTTTGAGGTCACAACGAGGCCAAAATCGATCAGCTATTGGCCGGATAGGTGGGAAAGTGTCATTAAAAGGTATCATTTGGATGTGAAAATGGTATTTTAAAAGTTTGTAGGTGGGAAAATGTCATTAAACCATTATTTGGGTGGAAAAAAATTATTTACAGCATTATAAATAATATTTAGCTTTTAAAGAATCTGATGTGTACAATGGTAAGTATTGTTATAAATTTATCATTGTAATCAAAATGTTTTTGCTATACCACTCTAATGAGTAGGTGAAAAATGATGAAATGATATAATAAATTTTTTAATACTACTTAAAAATTTATGTATGACTCAAGATTTCTCTATTAAGCTATATTTATTTATTTATTTTTATCGGGCAGTTAAGGACTTGTTAGAACCTGAAGCAGATTTCCAACAGAATAAGGCCAGTCTATTGCACCTCCACTGAACGTTCAACTACAGGCCTAAAATGCTCAGAGACAAGAGCCTGTTGGTCCATATAGTGCTGAAAAGTTGTTCGTAAAATGAAGAAAATTAATGAGTAAAACTAGAAGTGGGAGTACTAAAGACTAAAAGTATTGGTGTGTAACATTACATTACCCAATCATCAACCATGGAATCTTTTATATACTCTTCCGATAATTCGACAGTTCCAATGGTTGAGATGAAGAAACACTTGTGGTAACATTACCCCCATGTATCTATTCCTCAACAATTAGCTACATATGACATTCTATTTTATTCTCATGCATGGAATATACATGAATAGTTACATACAGTACTAAGTGGCCTTGATTTTTTTTTTTTTTCCCTGACGTTTGACTTAATTATTATCTGTAATTTTGAGTTCGAAAAATTGCTAGGATTTGAAAGTCGTTAGAAACTTTCTTTAAAACCGTGAGAATCCTTCTAAGAAGTTTCCTAAAATAGCCAGTCGCCCCGACTCAGCAATGAAGGCAGTTTGAGAAAAGTTCTTGCAGCCTATTTTCTAAATATAGGTATACAATTTAGGTTGGGTGGATTTATTCGGATGTTACTAAATCTTAAGTACTTATGAAAACAAAAATAAAGCGAACAAATGACAAATAAATAAATCACACAAACAAACATAAAATTTATAGTAATTCACTTTCCATATAAGAATTACATCTACTTTGCCGTCTCTCAAATGCCTCACAAATTAGTTTTCTCTCACTAGACCTTTCTTGATGTCTCTCACTCTCTAATTGTGGTCTTGTCTTCTATCATATATCTCTTTTTATAGGTAATACATATGATACTATTTCTAATAAGACTCAAATCTCATATCTTAATTAGAGCTGGACATTTGGGACCGAGCCCAAAAGCCTAGCTTTAAAACCCGGTCCTAGGACCGGTCCTTGAGAGGACCGGACCTAGGAGGCCTGATCCCAAAATGGGACCAGGCCCAAGGAGGAGGGCCCGGGCCCTCCACTGGGCCCTCGTCCCCGGTCCTAGGCCCGGGCCCAAAAAATTTTGTATTTTTTCAATGTAGTCCCCTACCAAATTACATAAAACCCCCTGTTAATTTTAATATAAATATAAATTATGAGGGCTAAAATAAAATTTTACAAAATTTAAAAAAAATAAATCTTACAGGTCTAAAAAATTTATAAATTTTACTTCTAAAAAATACTAAAAACCCCCTATAAAATTTTGTTTTGCCCCCAAAATATAAAAAAATTGAGGGGGGAAAATAAAATTATCCAAGACCCATGGGACCAGTCCCGACTAGGCCTAGGGCCTGGTCCGGGTCCTGGTTTTTCTCATGGGCCTGGGACCGGTCCCAGGCCCATGAGTGACTGGTCCTATTTGGGACCAGTCCCAAACGGGCCCAGGCCTGGGCCCGCAAGGGACCGGTCCCTTGCCCACCTCTAATCTTAATAGAAATTTTATTTTAATTCCTAATTTTATTCATAAAGAAAAACAATTCTACCTAAAAATATATTAAGAAAATTCATGTCCTACTACAATACTAATTTAGATTGAATTTGGTTCTACAATCTCAACAATTTATACTCAATTCGACCAAATCTCTTAATAAGCTTAATAAGATTAATACCCTTTTAAGCATATGATTAATAGGTGAAAGAATATATAGAGTTCAGACGAAGTGAAATAATTAAAGTAACTACCTCTAGGTAGTTTAACGGTTTGCTTGGTACTCTTGGGTTTATTATTTAAAAGGTTCTGAGTTCGAATCCCCACGACTACTAATAAGGGGTAGCCATTGGAAGCTTACCTAACCGTCAACTTCAGGGTCCCGAGGAATTAGTTGAGGTGCACACAAGTTGGCCTAGAAAAACTTGGATACCAAAACTTACATGACCATTAACTTCAAAACCTCAAAAGACTAGTTGAGGTGTGTGCAAGTAGGCTAAATATAAAACAAAAAAGATAAAAAAAACCTAGTCGTCAACTTTAGGGCTTTGAGGGATTAGTTGAAGTGTGTGTAAGTTGACTCGAATAACCCTAGATACTAAACTTATATGGCTGTTAACTTCAATATCCCAAAAGACTTGTAGTTGTATGCGCAAACTGACCCAAATTAAATAAATAAATAAAATAAAATAAACCTGAAGAGGACAAATAGAGATGATGATGATACGTCTAATAGCACATGGCAACCTGGCAACTTGATAAAAACAAAGGGGCAATTAATGACAATTAATGCAGACCAGAACCAGCCGATGAAGATAGAAATATAGAAGTCTGGACGCAATCGAAAGAGCCAAAGTTTTCAATCAAAAATATCTAAAACCTCAAACTTTGCTAGTTTTGGGAAGTCATCTCTGTTTTATTAGAATCAGCAATACAAGAAGTTTATCGATATTTCTACATGACATGGAACTCATCTGAAATTAATAATATTTATACGGAATTAACCAAATCCACACTCAATACCAATCTCAAACTTAAAAGAAACTTTTTACTACAAGCAATAATGATGAACGATTGCCATAGCCACCATCTTTTACCAAACCAATGTGGCTCGAGCCTAGTTCAAACCATAGACGCACCACTACCACTTGTTTGGTCCATAATTCGTCGTTTCGACCACCCACAAGGCTACAAACGATTCATAAAGAGTTGCATCATGCGCAGTGGCGGCGGCGGCGTAGGAAGTGTACGAGAAGTGATGATTATCTCCGGTTTACCGGCCACAACCAGCACGGAGAGGCTTGACGAACTTGATGATGAGCTGCATGTTATGGTGGTTAGCATTATTGGTGGAGATCATAGGCTTGAAAACTACCATTCTACCACCACTTTACATGAAAGTGAAGGAGGGTCGAAAACAATGGTGACAGAGTCGTACGTGGTGGACATTCCGCCGGGAAACAGCAAGGAGGATACATGGACGTTTGCGGAAGCGATTATAGGGTGGAATCTTAAGTCACTTGCAACCGTTTCCGAGGACAAGGTTAGGAATTGTGAAGCTTAGAGTTTTAATTTATATATTTGTAAGCCTCTCAAATGTTTATTACATTATGTTTTCATTCCTTTGTTTCTACTTCGGAGGCTGTAGATAGAGGATGTTATATAATATATATATATATATATATATGCATAGTTTGGTTTAGTCTTATTGAGATGAAACAATATCAAAGTATAGGTTGAATGTTTCTATATTTTATTTTATTTTATTTTAATTATTTATAATTGGATCAAATTACTTCATATATTAGTTTGTATATGATAAGCATAAGGAGATGTTAATAGATAAGAACATAAAATTAATATTTAAGTTCCATAAACCCCTTTATATGGAACTTGGATTTATGTTTTAAACAGTTGAAATATGAGGATTGAACTTAAGACTTTGTGCGTTTATAATATATTATCATCGATCTAAAAGCTTAAACGAAAAAGTATATATTTTAACTTTAGTTTTTAGTTAAACAATAAATTAGCATGGTATCAAAGTCAACTCTTAAAGTTTACAATTATCACATTTCAGGCTATTAGTTTAAGTTTTTAAATCATGTGTTAACAATTATAATTTATAAGTAATTATGTATGAATTTATTATAATGTTCTTGGTCTTTAATGTTTTATTCCCATATCTCTTATTGTTAGTTGAATGATTTCTTATTACTTGAAGTAATTTTTCAAGATTATTTTGGTTGTAATTAGAACTTGATTATTCCTTCTAAATAATATTATACTAACAAATTGATATGATAAATAAACAATGCACCACATCAGTTTGTAGATAATAATAAGACGGTCAGTATAAACCTAACATTATTAATTAAGTGGTAAAGAGATTTCTCAATGGACTTTCCCACATGGGCATTTGGTCCAATAACCCATTGCTTCTTTTTATCATTTTTTAAACGTTTTCAGTTATCTAATTTATCAGATTTCTGCAGTGCAGTCCATGTATATGCTAATGTTGATTATTAATTAATTAGGTCTTCCGGCTATAGCTAGACCAGCCCAAAGCAGAAAAACCTTTAAATTATTAATAAAATATTGTAAAGCTCAATTAATACTTATCTTAAAGGTAAGACTAGTAGGTAGACATATACATACAGTATATATATCAAAGCAGTTATGGTCCAATCAATATTTTAAGCAAAGATTAAGCTTTTAATTAATTAATTTAAATAGAGTAGTTTGGAATTGGGATAAGATCAGAATTAAACAGTCTACAGAATTTTATAGAAGTATGTGAAGCATCAAGAACGTTTATTCCATTTACATACAACGAACAAGATGGCAATACAAAATAAATAAAATAAAATATTTATTTGAGATAATGATTTATATTTTAAATTTGTTATTATATTTTTTAACTTGTAAGAGTTTAGTATTATACTTATAATTTGATCTGTATCTTCAAGTTTTAAATATATAATATGACATAACTTAATGAGTAATACTAGTTTTATAAAGGCATATATAAATAGGACATACAAAGATAATTCTTACCCTTGATTTTTATGATTTCTCTTTCTCTCTCTCTTTTTTTGTTTTTTCTTTATTTTTTTTTCTTGCCAATATCAAGTATTTGTAACATAACATTTTTCTAACTTAATTAATATAGTACATATCGATTACATATATCATAAACAAGGATATATACGTGTGCACTGACTTAAGAGAAATGGGCTTTACAGAAAGAAGTGGTGGCAGTGGCCTATACGTGTCTCTCTTTATAACTTTTATCTTAAACCGGCCCACGACTTCACACCAGATCGCCCTTTCTTCAAATTCTTTAAGATATTCTAAGTTATGCTCTTGCTTAGGTGTTAAGAAAAGCCTTTAATATATATCTTTTTTTTTTTTTTTTTACTAAGATTTATTTTAGCATTTAGAATAATATTGACAGCTGAAAATTTTGTTGAAAGAGAATAAATATCTACCCACATCCACATTTTTACTTACCATAAGTGATTACATAGATTGCATATTAATTATCATCAATCGAATCGGGGCCTTCATCTGTTCGAACAATCATTAAACCAAACTATGTCATTTAACCCGGATTGACCCGCGGTTGAATTGGTAGAACAATAGCGAAACGTTGGTTCAACTGGTCTAGGATCAAAACCGAGTCACTAAAAGTGAAAACTCATAAAGGTTTTATTTTTTTACTTAAAATTCTTTTCTTTTAGCTTTCTTAATTGATGAAAGATTATGAGTTATGAATTTTTGTTAAGTTTAATAAATGAGTTTGAAATTGGAAGATTAAATTCTTAGACTTTGATGTGAGTTTTGATTTAATCTTGTTTATGATGAGGTATGAGTTAATTAGTTATTGTTTAAGATGGGTTTGAAAAATTTTGGTTAGCTATTGAGTTAATTTTGAATGATTTAAATAATAAGTAATACTACACATACAACATTATATGACAAAATATGATTGACTGATTTTAAATTAAAATTAAACTTTTACCGAATCATCTTTTACCACATAATGTTATATGAGAATTTTGTATGTGTAGTATTATTTCTAAAGAATTGATGTAACCTTAAGTTGTAGAGATTTAGAGATTTGGTTTAATTTTGATATATTGATTAATTGCTTGATATTTAGAGTTGGATTAATGAGTTTTCATGGTTTATGAGTTAAATTTTATTGGATTAGTAAAAATTGTTTGAAAAACCTATGTTATAAGATTTGGGGTTTCGGTTTATCAACTTCGATGTTTTAACCCCATTGAATAAAAATCCTGGCTACGTCCCTGTCATCGAGTCCGGTAAAAAGTGTTTACCATGAGAGAAAATCTAGTAACGAAAGGACGAAGATCTTGCCATTGAATGAGAAGATTTCTCCTTTGTGACTTAGATGATAAACAAATGCCTTTTAATTGCAGTATTTGTTCAAGTTGATTTGGCTTATGTTCCCGATTCTATGCATTATCATTATTTGAACTTTGAAGAACTTTTACTTTAGTCCTTGACTTGTTTGAAGAACTTTTACTTTAGGCTGTGCATTTTCAATACTGCAACAATGCAACTTTTTCTCAAGTACATGCTTTTTTACTAATTTTTTTTTTTTTTCAAGTAGATATATCTGAAGTTAAAAGAGTTCAGTTGCTGCTCTAAATTCTCTCAAGGATCAGTGGCAGAAGCTTCAGACAAACTGGGTTGGTGATGATCCTTGCGGCAGTTCTTGGGAAGGAAATAGTTGTATCAATTCAAGTGTGATCTACATGTAAGTTCATTTTTCCCTTGAACTTCTGGTGCAAGCTCGCGTGGTGTGGCTGCTATTCTTCATTTTTCAATGCTTGAGAGTGACCTGAGGATTTTAATTTTCTGGAGTACTATCAGGCATGGACTTGTGAGGGAACCTGTTTGCATACATTTAGAATCTACCTGAAGTAAGGAAATTGTTAAGTTCTATCTCCACCCTTTTCGTTTCCCTGATGCAAAGACTACAAAATTCTCAAGTTTTCAATCTTCACTGCAGTTTATGCGTGATAGATTCTGTATTTTAGTTGTGAGATGCGTCTTGTGGGGCTTGTTTTATAATCCAAGTGAAATACATAGTTTCTTCCTGTGAATATTGCTTGACTTATTCGATTTCTTTTCTATTCATCTATATCTCATTGGGGATTGTTTTACTAGAATCATGAAGTTCCTGTAGTTGGATATATTTTACTATTTTAAGGGTTTGTCTTTTTGACAATTTTTCCATTTGTCGCTTTTCTAGGCAAGGATCTTCAGGCTTTGGCACAATCAACTCTTTCAAAGAATATTCCACCATTTGAACCTAAAGGTAGCTCCACAACCCTTCCCTTTAACCTCCATGTTCTGAAGATCAGATCTTTTTACTAAGACACTGCTATGTTGCTCATGAAATTAATGAATTATTCTAAGGTGGGAATCTTCAAGAAAAATATAAGACCTTTCTCGACTCCAAGTTTCAAGAAATACCTCAGGAATTCTCATTTTAAGCTTCAGGTAGGGAATGCTAGAGATTGTTATATAATTTTCTTTTGTGGTAATGCAGATATTATCAGGTCCGATTGGCACACTTTTATTATCCTATCATATTCCACTATCATATCTTAAAAACCTAAAAATGCATCTGTTTTAATATTCTCAAAATTCAATCATATTTTATTCAACTCAAAATATTTGGATTATTTTAACTTCTTAGGTTTGTTAATTTAACTAAACACCCCCAATAATAAAAATTTATAAATTAACAACAACACCCCCACCCACCTATATATTGTTGGCAGCCGGCCACCACCAACAGAAGGTGGCCGAAATTTGTCAGAATGGCTTGCATGACCGGCTGGATCTGGCTGATTGTGTGCCAATCTGGCCTTTTGAACTGGCTGTTGATGACTAGATCTGGCCACATCTGATTGTTGATGACAACCATATCTTGGCTGTCAACGTCCAGATAGACATTCAGAATCTATCAGGCACAAAGTTATATGCATTTTGTTATGCTAATTTAGAATCTTGTACTTTGGATGCATTTTGTTATATTCAGATTCTAGCATTTTGTTATGCTACTTAATGTTTAAATATGTAGTTCCTAACTTCTCAAGTTTCATATTTTCACTGCAAAGTTTCAAACAGAGTTATATTTGCAGAGTACTAAAGTTTGGTTAGAAATTCTAAGTTTGTAGAATATTTGCAGAATATTAAGTTTGCAAACTACTAAGTTTGTAGCATACTAAGTTTATAGAATACTAAGTTTGTAGCATACTAAGTTTGTAGAATATTTTCATAATACTAAGTTTGTAGAATATTTGTAAAATATTTGCAAAATACTAAATTGAATCTAACAGTATGATTGCTTATTGGTTGCTAGGGAAGAGATAAAGATAGAGAATGTCATCATCTGGGTCTACGCAACACTCTACGTCTATGGGTGCTTCCTCACAATGTAACGCCCACATTGAGCTACGTAGATTTACTTATGCTCTTTTACCCTTAGTTGATTTTTGTTAAAGTTATTTTGAAAAAAGTGTGAAGAAAATGCCTTAAAATTTCATTAGGGGTAAAATGACATTTTCACTCATAATTAGTTGAAAAAGTGGGGAGTGAAAAGAGATAGAATAACATAGAGAAGTTAAT